ATATATATATATATATATATATTTATGAAACACTTTTACAATATTTTGATTACAAGTTTGCCGTCAAAATCTAAACTTACCATAAGAATCCTTTCGTTAACAAGTCTCACAAGAAGTCACCATTATATTTCCTAGATGTTATTGTTGGAATCTTGTATCACAAAAACTTTGAGTCCATATTATATTATCTTTTAGGAACATAATATGTTTTTTTCATTATCAAACTTTAAGATGTTATCTTTTAATCAAGCTCCACTTTTTATTAATCCTTTTGTTGAGTTGTTTCCCAATTATTTTGATGGAGATACATCTAAGTGAACTCCCTGATGCCTCACCACCTGTTCCAACTGATTCTATAGAAGATACTTTACCTGTTGGTAATGTATCAAGATAATGCCATGTCTTCTTCCATTAGCTCTTCTATATCACCTGTTGATATTGGATTTGACACCATTGATACTGAGTTTGAAAATAAGATCATTATTCCATCCTTGAGTCATCCTATTCCGATTTATCTTATTTGGATAAGAAATCCTCCTAACTCTCATATTACGTTGAAAATTGAAAATAAAGAAACATATTTAAAGAAAAATTTATTATTTTCTTTAATAATACTGTATGTACAATAATATGTCCATAAAGAGAATATTTTAATGTTTTAAATATTTATAAGAAAATACTTTAAAATATATAATATTTATAATAAGTATGAATAATATGAACATAATTTGAATAATATGAATAGTTAATTATCAATTATTTTTTTTTAAACATTTTTGTCGTAGGATCGACTTAAACCATTATCCTGGGAGAGAGAGGTATGAACTTTACAAACGTAACTAAAATCACTCGACATGGAGGATTAGATTCAGTTAATTGTCAATTATTGAATTTATATCTTAATAGTATTATTATATTTTACTGCAATAAATGTGCACCAGATGGAAAAGGAAGAGTCGAACCTGAATTTTAGGGACTCAATCTGTAACGTCTTGGCGGCGGGGCAGATAATTGCTCTGTAAATAAGGTAACAATGTCAGATATGGAAGCTCGATGAAAATTCAAACTTGAAATTTATATTGTAATATTTTACCGCAGTAAATATGCACGAGGAAGAGGGAGTACGAACCTGAATTAGTTTTTAGGGACTCAAATCTGTAACTTAAAGCAAAAAGTATCCATTTGGTTTCGGTGTAGCTGTATATGATGGTGGCCACTGGCCAGTGGCGGTACTATGGGAGAGCATTGGTAGGTATGGGTGAGATATTTATTTATATTTGTATTTAATTTAAATAGTGATAAGTATATAATTTTAATATTTAGTAGTTATGTGGGTATTAAAAATTTATATTTATTATTTAATTTATTAGGTATAGATATATTCACAAGTATATTTATATACTAATTAAATTTTACATTAAAAATATATAAATTAATATACAACTATAAGTTCATATATATAATATAAATTTATATATAAAATAAAATATATGAATATATATG